GAGACTTCAGATTTAATATCATAATATCTTCAAAAATTTCTATGACTAACATTATTATACAGTTAAACCAGGGGCGTAGCGAGGGGGGGGTCGGGGGGTGCGGACCGCACCGGGTGACACCATTTAGGGGGGTGACACCAAGGCAAAAATAGCTAAATATATAGAGAACAATTTTGAGGAGGGGGGGGGGGTGCAAATCGAAAATTGAAAGTTTGTCCGCAGGAAGGGTCGCTACGCCTCTGGGGGGGGGGTGACACCATTAAGCGCCGCACCCGGTGACACCCGACCCCACTACGCCACTGAGTTAAACTAAACGTAATTAAAGTGTAATCAAACGATGAGCTTCGTTGGCTTTTTGATATAATTGGCTAAGTATTAATTAGTCCTGAGTTTAACATAAGTGCTAAACACGATTAAAGCCCGGATTTGAATTTTAACACGGCCGTGTGAAATTGCAGGCATTTCTAATTAACAGATACGGTTCATAATTGGTACGCGGGTCAAGAAATGAAGACAATGCATTTGCGTTTGCAAGCTAGTATGAGATGCGGACCTGTTGTCCATGATTACTTGTTTATTGTAACATAATCTGCAAGTAATTTTCCCTCCGTAACCTTTGTCTGCGTCATTGGCTATTCCGCATATTGCATGGACATCTTTGCCACAGGATCCACAAGAATGGGCTGCACTACAATATTTTTCACAAACAACACGCTATCTATTGGCCATATTATTGTCACGCAGCTGGTCTGGAGGTTCCGCCATATGTATTTGCTGAGAATGTCGTTGCATTTATGGAAACCTCCATTTCTTGTTCAATTTTCTCAAGATCTTTCTTCGGTAACTAAATTATCGAGAGCCTCTCTTGGTAGATTTGAAGTACTAAGTCCCACTTTTGGTTTGTTCCAAACATTGCTTCATATGGCAATTGTTGGTTTACTTTATGAATTGGACGGTTTTTCATAAATTGAATGAATTTGAGACTCTCGGCCTAATGAGCTAATTCATTTATCTGCATCCATGTCACCATCATGTTTTGAACATCTTGGACGGCACGTTCTACTGAACCTTGGCTTTGGTTATGCTTTGGATTTCCATGAACTAGTTAAAGTTCAGGCCATATGTTATTTAGTTCAGAAATAACTTGATTCACAAATTCTATTCCATTAGGGTTTGGATTATTTATTTTGGCAGCAATCTGGTATGTCTGTCACTTGGTCTGACGGCCCTTTTGGTCCATGTCGCATTGCATATAGAATGCTATACGAACAACAACCAATCAATAAGTTACTCACAATGAAACCTCACCCAGAATAATGAAAACGCGATCACAACTTAGTCTAGATAGAACATGCTGGCCAATGTATAAAATACTATGTCAATTTTACACTTTTCGGACTTTGGCCATAACGTCCCAGGCAAATGCGCATCTTGGCCGGCCAATGTAGGAAATACGCTGTCAAGTTAAATGCCTTCGGACTTTGGCCAAGAGAGCCGGCCAATGCGCACATTGGCCGTCCAATGCGGGCTTTGGCCGCACTTCGGGCTTTGACCGTAACTTATATATAAAGCAATGCATGTATGTCTGTTTGTCTTTTATACATTACTACACCTATCATCACATCGCCGTGAAACTTTGGGAAGTTGTTGTAAACATTTCTGTGGAGGTTTCTGCGAATAAAAAATTCGCAGAGGTATCGCCCCGGCAGGTCGCAATTTGTTTTTTCTCTATATACGGTATATCAAAATAAAAGTCGATTTTGATTGACACCGTTCATCCGATAGCCATGATACTTTAGGGAGTTGATTAGAACATTCTGGGGAAGGGTTCTGTAAAAAAATCAATTTTGATTTCGCAAGGGCGGCGCCACGGGAGGGTGCTATATTTCTCTATGTACGGTATCTATCAATCTTCTATCTTCTATCTATAATATGTACAGAAATGTATGTGTGTCTGTCTGTGTGTGTGACCTTTTATGCATTACTACACCTCTGATCACATCGCCGTGAAACTTTGATTGAGATGTATTATTTTGTGTTTAATTTTTAAAAGAAATCAAACAATATTTTATTAATTCCATAAAAATTAGCTCAAATGTTATATTTTTTTTCTATATTCGTAATATTATTTGAAAAAAATAAATGTTTAATATAATTTTTAACATTGATAATCAGTGCATTTCTTACTTTACGTCAGCTTTATTCAATATTATTTTGTCTCAACATGTTTTTATCTAGCGTTTTACTGACTTTTTACTCTTCTGTGATACTTTGTAATAATGAATACACAGGTCCTAATTTGCATAATACATGACCGATGAAGTTGAAACGTGGTGTACTTTGTAGGGATACCCAAAATATCATTTTTAATATATAGAATTATGTTTTGGACACATCCGTGTTAGAAGGAATTAAAATAACACTTCTGAAGTTATATTTTAGTTATGGCTATTCCACACATTTTATATTATAATTTATAGACGTTACTAAAATATAATAAAATAGTATAGAGCATAGCATAAGAGGTTGATAATAATCTGTTGGCTTATAATGGAAGGCGTCGCCAATATTACGTGTTTTTTTTTCATTTTAAAATAATTTTAAAAGGAAACAATTGTTAAATTAAAAAGTTTATTCCACATTGTATAATAACCACAAAACAAATAGGCCTACAAACAGGCCTTCTGTGTAGTAAACATAATTATTATAAAGATGTCTAAGTCTAATTAAGTTAGGCCCAAGTTGACATAAAATATGATAAAAAAGATACCAAATATAAATACCGCTGCAAAACAAATAGTTAAAAAATTTGAAAATTTAAAAATTACACAAAAATACCCATTGAAAATTCCCCACATAAAGAGACAAGGAAATCAACTTAATTTGATTCTTTTAGTACCATGGATGACCTTTATTTTATTTTAAAAAGCAGTACAATTAAGATGTATACATACAAGTAACACTCCTAAAAATTGTTTAATGTACTGTACATATAGATTGTGTGGTTAACATATGACACCCCACACAGATTTTTGTTGTTAAAATTTTATTAAGTGTACATAACTCTTTCTAAATTTTCATATCACATAAATGTGAAATAATTTTCTGAAATAAAACAGCAGATTAAAAACAAAGCCAGTTTACTCTGTGATAACATTAACATAGACACGCAAGTTAATTAATAAATTCACACGACAAAATTAGATTTATATTTAGTAAATCATTTGTTTTAACTAATTATCTTTATGTTTTCTTTTAAAGGCATCTCCATTTTACACTCGCACGGCTATGGACCATTGTGTATGCACAGAAATCCCTGTAACATTCATTGATATAAAATGTCTTTATATTATAAATATTTGACAGCATTACATTAACCATGAACAATTATCAACAAACAACCCCCTCCTCCTTATCTGTTCTCCCCATTCACAAAAAAATATAAGTTTTTACCTTTGTGATGCGACAGGCTAATTTATAGTTACAAAGTTTAAGATTGTTTGTGGGTGAACAGGGTGTAAAAAGTTGATTTTGTTTTTAATCTCTACCTTTATGAAGCAAACTAAATCTCTTATAACAAGCTTTTCCACTTTAAATCTCTAAGTCTAATTAAGTTAGGCCCAGGTTGACATACAATATGATAAAAAAGATACCAAATATAAATACCGCTGCAAAACAAATAGTTCAAAAAATGAAAATTTAAAAATTACACAAAAAATACCCATTGAAAACTCCCCAAATTAAGAGACAAGGAAATCAATTTAATTTGATTCTTTTAGAACCATGGATGACCTTTATTTTAGTTTTAAAAAGCAGTACAATTAAAATGTATACATACAACTAACACTCCTAAAAATTGTTGAATGTACTGTACATATAGATTGTGTGGTTACCATATGACACCCCACTCAGATTTTTGTTGTTAAAATTTTATTATGTGTACATAACTCTTTCTAAATTTTCATATCACAAGCACTAAATAATTGTGAACTAATTTTCTGAAATAAAACAACAGATTAAAAACAAAGCCAGTTTAGTCTGTAATAACATTAACATACACACGCAAGTTAATTAATAAATTCACAAGACAAAATTAGATTTATATTTAGTAAATCATTTGTTTTAACTAATTATCTTCTTGTTTTCTTTTAAAGGCATCTCCATTTTACACTCGCACGGCTATGGACCATTGTGGAATGCACAGAAACCCCTGTAATTTTAATTGATATAAAATTACTTTATATTATAAATATTTCATAGCAGAACAATAATCATTAACAATTATCAACAAACGACCCCTCCTCCTTATCTATTCCCTAAGTGGGGTAGCCAGGATCGTCTCATCGGGGGGGGGGTGTCCACATTTTTTCTTGCCTTTTTCATATATATATATATATATACATATATATATATATATATATATATATATATATATATATATATATATATATATATATATATATATATATATATATATATACTAGCTGTATGTCATTGCTTCGCTATGATGTAAAATAAATTGAAAATACTCTGAAGAAATAAGAAAAAAACACACAATGTTGGCCGACAAAATAAAACAATGTATCACTCTAATTTAAAAAAAAAAAAGTCACACACAATGAACGCAACACAATCTTTTTGTAATCCTTGTAAAAAAACAATTTGACATAATAATTCCTATAACCCCCCTACCCCCCCCCCCCCCCCCCCCTCTGCTACGCCACTGTATTCTCCCAATTCGGAAAAATATATAAGTGTTTACCATTGTAATGCTACAGGCTAATTTATAATTTTCAAAGTTAAAGATGGTTTGTGGGTGAACAGGATGTAAAAAGTAGATTTTGTTTTTAATCTATACCTTTATGAAGCAAATTAAATCTATTATAACAGGCATTTCCACTTTATACCGCAGGTCACACTGTTTTACAACAGGTTTAAAGCAACCAAAATTTAATTTTTAATGTAATAGCTAAAGTGTCGTTACCTTTATTCTGCACATGTTAAGCACGTCTAAATTTCATTTCGCTGAGTGATAAACCTACAAAATCCAACCAGCAGATGCCAATATACTCCTGAGAACCGTATACGCCGTTAAGGTTACTGTAGTAACAGGTTTTATACCACCACGCTCCTTGATACATTTCCGCGCAGTTAAGGCCAATCATATCATTATCCTGGTCAAATGTGGAAAACTTCATATCATTGTGGTAGGCTAGATTGTCTGCGTAATCTCCGGTGTAGCCACCAACATGTAGCCTGTAACCGTCTGACTCGCTAGAAATGTTGAAGCTGGAATACTGGGCGAAATATTTTGTTCCTTCGTGGATAAAATCCACTCTCAGTTCAGTTGGACGGTTTGACGTTAAGAGATAAATGTTCTCGTTGCCCAGGTAAAAATTACCTGAACTGAAATCACCAAACCCATTTTTGTATTCAGTCCAGTTCCTGTAAAAATCTACAGACCCAGAAACACGTCTTTGGAAAATGATCCATCCTCCACCGTCTGTCTCTGTGTCACACATGACTTCAACTCCAGAGTCTAGGTTCACGAGAGGTCGAGGGTCACTGTTGTTTACACTTTTGCATGTTGCTGAATTGATAAAAACAAGTCTTGTTTAAGTAAATCGTTAATTTATATTTACAATTTCTGTTAAACAAATCTTTTGTATGGACCCATACACATTTTATTTTAAAATTACAGCGGAATTTAACAAAAATAATAATTTAAAAAATTTCTAAAGTATGTTCTCTGTAGTGTAATTTCTACTGCCCCGTTTCCATGCAAATATTTACTTTTTTGTACACGAATTAGGAAGGGAAATATTGTTGTTGTATACAGAGTTGAAATTAAAATATCAACGTGGTACGCCTTCTAGCGTAAGAAAAAAATCAATTTTTACAAAATTATATTATATCTTTAGGACGTTCGTCAACACGAATCTTGGCGCCATGTTGGTCATTCCGAAGCCAGAAACGCTCTAAAACAAACGATCATTGGAAGATACCAGTGGTGAAGTGTAACCATAAATTCAAGTAAAACTTTGTTCATTTGTATAAAGCGTACAAACTGCACAATTAGTGTACCACATGAGGTTAAAAATAAATTTATGCCAGAAACCCTTGCAACAAATTCTGAACGGTTTATTTTACGATTAGATGAATGATGCCAGGTAAAACTTTCTCAAACGCAACCTCCCCACCCAGTAAGATTTAATATTAGACTTGCCGTCCGGGCCAGGCCCTGCGAAGGAGTCTGTGAAATAACTATCTTTAAAAGACCATGAGTTGTGTGTTTAGTAATCAGCATATACCCGGCTTTGCCCGGGTTTAGAAGATTTATTACTACTCGAATTAAACCAAACCAAAACCAACCAAAAACAAGACACAAATAAACGCTACCATAACACAAATGCAAACACAAATACAAACACAAACAAAAACACAAAGAAAACTAACCAAAAAACAAAGAAAACGCAAACAAAACAGCAAACAAAACAGAAAACAAAAACAAACCAAAATCCAAGTGTAAACGCAAACCCAACCAGAAACGCAAACCCTAACCCAAACACAAAGGAAACACAAACGCAAACAAAAAAGGAAACAGACGCAAATACAAATTGAAATACAAACGTAAACCTTTATGCAGACAATATCTCAAAATAATGCTATTAAATGCAAACATATACACAAACTTAACTGTAAACATAAACGCAAAGTACTCACAGGCCAGCCCGGGGCGCCTAATCGCAACACTCTGGGGCACCGGCGGAACCGCCTGATTCAACTTAGGAAACGGCTATAATACCCCAACTTATTCATAGTCGTTTGCCATAGCTAACACGGGAAGGCCCGGGCGCCAATCAACATCCTGTCGGGATGCCGAAAAACGTCCACATTCGATTCAGTTAAAGACTAATGTAACCTTTCTTATCCATAGTCTATAGCACGGTTTAAAACGAAATTATGCACCATAGCGCTCACAGAATAGCACAGGGCGCCAAATCGATTCCTGCAGGGCTCCGGCGGGCGCACCTGATTTAATTTAGGGAACGACTATAATACTCCAAGCTTATATGCAGACTAGAAATTAGAAGTTAACAAGAAGATATTTAGGAGCTGGCTTATAAACTGTTATTGATTAAGAAAGTAATTAGTAAACAGTAAGTTCAGTGTATTAAATAAAAAAAAAACGGGAGTGATCTCCCCTAAACTTTCTCGAATATTCTTATATAACTTGGAAATAGACATGATTTTTAATTACTTAAACTTTTAAAAATAGAATAGAATCTCATAGAAAAAAGAATTGCGCACCAAGCGAACACAAAAAAAATGGCATAATAGTGCACAATATTATTAGTACTTTATAAATTTACATGCGTTTTTTGAGAAATCGGAAATAGCGTAAATTAGTACTTCCGGTCAACGGAAATTACTCAAAATTTGACAGAAGGTAGGGAATTAGATCTTTTACTTAAATGTGAAATTTCATTTATCTAACTGAAATAGTACTCAAGTTATAGGCTTTTGAAAAATTCATAGTAGAAAAAGTACCACTTCCGGTTATCGGAAATCGCTCAAAAGTTGATACGGATCTACGATTTTGATAAAATACTCATATATGAAATTTCATCAACCTAGCTGTAATGGTACTCAAGTAATCGTGTTTACACACAGACAGAAAGACAGACACACACACACAGACACACAGACATACGGACGAGATTGCAAAATTATGTTTTTCTGTATCAGTGAGGTGTAAAACGTCGAGATTTTTTTTGCACGATTACAAGACTTTCTCTATACTTCGTATAGTCGAGAAAGTAAAAAGGTAGTATTTATAATATCTGTGTTTTACTTACCATATTGCACTCGATCAATCAACGCTAATTATGTAATTTGCTTTTTTCCCAACACCAAAACAAAGTAATAAGTAGTAATCTCTTTTCCCTCAATGTATTTTTTGTAAAGGGAAGTAATTGTGTTATCCTAATTTATAAAGGGACGTAATGAGTGCTAAAGAATTAATATCAATTAAAAGTAAATAATTTTTTAGACGCATTCAGATTTTTTTGTGAAGGGTGCCACATTTTCTTCAATTTTGTTTAGTTCATTTAACAGTATAAGTTTGGAAAATGAAAATTGTTTTATAATACCTTCAAAATTAATTTTTAAATCATTAATTTAAATGATGAGCACTTCAGATATATTACACTATGGCGATGAATTCTATATTTTTTCTATTACTTTGTATTCTGATGTCCGCAGCATTCATATATACAGAGACACGGAGTTAGTTTCAACTTTATATATTACATTATAGTAGGCAAAGTATCCCTAGAGTGTAATTCATTACGCTGGGGAATGCCGATCACAAAACCGCCGTGACTTCAGAAAACACCCCTAGTGTAATTTTAATGTTGATATAATTAGTACACTTAACCCCCATAGCAGTATACCCGATCATCGGATTCAAACCGCACGGGGAATCAAGAGGTCGACGCAAATTATAATAGCGGCAACTAGACTTTAATTTAATTTAATTTTTTTAAAATAAACAGTTTCCAAAACTTAAATAGCAGTCGAATGAATAATGATATAATGCATACAAGACACTGGTTGAGATGATTTGGCAATATATTTTGTCGTTTTCTTTAGTCTGTCAGATTACAGGGTACACCGTAGGGATGGACAGCAGGTGACGCGTTCAAAGAGACCGACCACTCTGACAGGATAATAGTAGTCTTTTTACTGACCAGAAGTCAGGGTTGTTAGCGCTAGGGGGAATAATTTGTTGTGTCACAAGTTCTTAGCCCATTGTCCCGTGGGAATAGCTAGGGGGTTAGAACAGGGGTATAAATACAGGCAGGTTAGTTAGTCTCTCTCTTTCGCACAAGCGCTCCAGACTTTTGCGGTTCGGGGGAAGCCTCGATCAGCGGAACACGCATTTAATGAATGAATAAACAACAGAAACTAAGAAGGTCTCCTGCCCGGTGCATATTTTACAAAAGCTGACTCGGGTAGAATTAGTAAATACCCTAGGCAACAACGGCCTCATTGGCTAATGCCCGAGTCAGTGTCCACAACGTATTCGGCAGGCGACTAGGTAACCGGACGGAAAGATCGTAGTCCGGTTAGCAACAACCGCTTAGAAAGATTATTAATCGGTATTTTTTTTTTCATATATCTCGAGATGTAGACAAATGTAATTAAAATTATTTATTACAGAATCTTTCCCTGGAGTGTTCTAATCAAGATCCTGAAGTTTAATGGCTATCGGATAAACGTTGTGAGACCGCAATGGAATTTTATTTTTATATAAAATATATAAAGAGAAAACAAATAACGAGGAAGCACAAAATTCATTTTCTACTTTTTAGTCCACAAGAAAAACGTGGTTATCAGAAATCGTTGAAAAGTTGACACAGAATTTCAAATTTGATATAATTCATATATATGAAATTTGATCTACCTAGCTGTAATGGTACTTAAGTTATCATGTAAACAGACACATACACAGACATACGGACAGAAGGTACCCTTACTATTACATTTACCCTTAGCCTTACACTTACACTAACCATTAAACTGACCCTTAACTTTACCTTTACCCTTATCCTTACCCTTACACTAACCTTACCCATATTTGTTGTCATACCCTACCCTTATCCAGCGCGTACACTTATCCTCAGCATTTCCATCAACCTCTCCCTCACCCTCACACAGTCTCCCAACTCTACTCTCATCATTATCTTTATTTCCTACTCCTCGCTTAAAATTATAATAATAATATTATGCAAATCTTACATGTTTATTTTACAAGTTACTTACCTTCACACCTACTAGCATCTGTGCTGTTGATGCTGTATCCAGGCTTGCACGAGCACGAGTAGCTTCCTATTGTGTTGCTACAAATCTGCTCACATGGACTCGTAGAGTTATTTCCGCATTCGTCAATGTCTGCAAATATTTAAAAAAAAACATACGAACTTGTAAGCAAAAATCCATTATTTCATGTAAAGAAGAGTTCATTAATACTTTTTGAATGTTGATATATGGCACTGTAGTAGCCTTCCTATTATGAGCACGACTAAATATTACAATCAACAGCTTTATCTATACATCATCATATCATGTTTAAATATATTAGCTAAACCAAAACTAAGTAAAACGAGCAAAAGAGAAAAAAATAAAGGAAAGCGTAACAGAAAACTGCATACATACATACACTATCCTTATATCTACTTTGATAAATAAAGCCACAAGTATCAAATAATTACATTATATGTAAACGGACGCAAAAAAAATTAAAACGAAATATTCAAACCTTAAGAATTTCACAAACAAGCATGTATTTGAAAAGATAACTTAATTAAAAGCGAAAAATTATGTTTTACCCTGATTTGATAAGATCTATAAAAAAAAAACTTCCCCCAACCAATTACCGGTAAATAGTAACTTGCTCAATTATTACCTGTCGATTACCAACCTCTGTAAGTACCTCATTATCGAATATAAACTAAACCAATATCTATTCCTGCCTTTCATTTTCTTTTTCTCTTTTCCTTGCCCTTTCTCTTTCCTGTTTTCTTTTCACTTACCATTTCCATTACCTTTACCTTTCCCCTTAACCTTACTTTTCCCCTTAACTTTATGCTTACGCTTACACTAACCCTCAGTCTCTCCCTCACCATCACCCTCACCCTAATGCTAACACCCAACTCTACTCTCATTATTATCTTTATGCTAACCCATCTCCTACTCCTACGCTTAAAATTATAATAATAATATTGTGCAAATCTTACATGTTTATTTTACAAGTTACTTACCTTCACACCTACTAGCATCTGTGCTGTTGATGTTGTATCCAGAATTGCACGAGCACGAGTAGCTTCCTATTGTGTTGCTACAAATCTGCTCACATGGACTCGTAGAGTTATTTCCGCATTCGTCAATGTCTGCAAATATTTAAAAAAAAACATACGAACTTGTAAGCAAAAATCCATTATTTCATGTAAAGAAGAGTTCATTAATACTTTTTAAATGTTGATATATGGCACTGTAGTAGCCTTCCTATTATGAGCACGACTAAATATTCAAAACATTTGATTACATATTACAATCAACAGCTTTATCTATACATCATCATATCATGTTTAAATATATTAGCTAAACCAAAACTAAGGAAAACGAGCAAAAGAGAAAAAAATAAGGGAAAGCGTAACAGAAAACTGCATACACACATACACTATCCTTATATCTACTTTGATAAATAAAGCCACAAGTATCAAATAATTACATTATATGTAAACGGACGCAAAAAAAAAATTAAAACGAAACATTCAAACCTTAAGAATTTCACAAACTAGCATCTATTTGAAAAGATAACTTAATTAAAAGCGAAAAATTATGTTTTACCCTGATTTGATAAGATCTAAAAAAAACTCCCCCAACCAATTACCGGTAAATAGTAACTTGCTCAATTATTACCTGTCGATTACCAACCTCTGTAAGTACCTCATTATCGAATATAAACTAAACCAATATCTATTCCTGCCTTTCATTTTCTTTTTCTCTTTTCCTTGCCCTTTCTCTTTCCTGTTTTCTTTTCACTTACCATTTCCATTACCTTTACCTTTCCCCTTAACCTTACTTTTCCCCTTAACTTTATGCTTACGCTTACACTAACCCTCAGTCTCTCCCTCACCCAACTCTACTCTCATTATTATCTTTATGCTAACCCATCTCCTACTCCTACGCTTAAAATTATAATAATAATATTGTGCAAATCTTACATGTTTTTTTTTACAAGTTACTTACCTTCACACCTACTAGCATCTGTGCTGTTGATGCTGTATCCAGAATTGCACGAGCACGAGTAGCTTCCTATTGTGTTGCTACAAATCTGCTCACATGGACTCGTAGAGTTATTTCCGCATTCGTCAATGTCTGCAAATATTTTGAAAAAAAATACGAACTTGTACACAAAGATGTATTATTTGTAGAGTTATTTTTCATGTGAAGAAGATTTCATTATTTTTTTTTTAATTTTAATATATGGCACTGTAGTAGCATTCCCATTATGAGCACGACTGACTATTCTTAAAATTTGATTACATAATACAATCACCAGCGTTATCGATACGTTATCTTGTCATATTTTCAACACATTCTCCTAAACAAAAGAAAGCAAAACGAGCAAAATGCATACACACATACACTTTCCTTTTATCTACTTTGATAAATAAATATCTCATAAACAAGTATCTCTTTGAAAAGATAACTTAATTAAAAGCGAAAAATGACGTTTATAAAATCTAAAGAACCCTTCCCCAAACTTCTTCGTTCTCAATTGTTAGTGTTGGAAGGGATCGAGTCCTATCTGCCAGAGGGTTTGAACTCGAGACGTTCTCGAATTTAACAACCATGAGCTGCGCCAACTCGATCACGCCTCCAACACAATTAAATATACGTTTCAACTGGTTATGTGCAATTGAGTCCATTGACTCCCATTTCAGCCTGCTTTTCTTTTTGGATTTGCTTCCATAGCATTTGTCCAACCAAAGATGCGTACTAGACTGAGTATATTGAAAATTGTGTTTGTCTGTTCCGTTAGTTGAGAGAACCTGCACTACATGTAGAACTGTAAAATACTTATTTATGAGGAGAATAAGGCTCTTTTGTTCAAACTCTTAAAAACAAATGTATTTTAAACATGTAATTAATTTATTAAAATTTTCATTTGTAGGAACAAGTACTTTTTTTCAGAAAAAAATTAAAACCTTTTACTGGCTTAGTGGCGTCACCTGATTTTTTTTTCTTATTGTCACAACACACGTGGCTTGGCTTCCATGGAAAGCCATGTTGCACATTAAAAAGATTCACCCATTAAAAAGCTAAATGCACAGTGCTAAATCACAACACACTTGATTGGTTTTAATTCATTAATATTATTTAGACGTCAACTTTAATAATTTATTCATTCATTATTTAAATAAGGTTCGAACTCAGAAAATAGTATTGGCATAAACAGATTTTAAAAAAAAAAAGACTAACACATGCAAGCGGGTGTGTGGCTTTTTTTTTTTTTAGATGTGAATGATACAGTTGTCTATCAAGACTTGGCGGGAAACGGGGCAGGTGAAGTAGAGTTCACCTATGTCCTAAGCATATGAAGGGATTGTGTTGTCAGAACCTTGTTCAGCTGAAATCAATGTTTTTAAAGACACAAACATGTTATCTGAGACTTGGTGAACACGGGGCAGGTAAAGTAGAGTTCACTTGTGACCTCAGCACACGATGTGTGACGGTAGGGATGGAAACGATATATTAACGTGGCGCCCATTAAGGATAACGCCCGAAACCCACTATTATCTAAGGACAACAGGGAGTCTATTTAAATATTAAAATCGGCTATATTTCTTTCGAGTTTATTTGTCGTGTTAACCAGAGGACTCGCATTTAAATTAAACACTTTTTTGCGTAAGAAGTTAGAACAAGTTTTTTTTTATTTAGTTTTATCAGGTTCGTTATTATAAGCATGTTTTTATTCAATACAGCTTGTTGATTTTTAACCGCTGATTTAACACTTGTTTTTGCCGTCTCAAAGCCGTTTGATATTACAATTTGTATTTTCTGAATGTTTTTGGAAACGTAGTTAGTATTTATTAAATCACACACACACACACACACATATATATATATATATATATATATATATATATATATATATATATATATATATATATTCCGCCTGTCTTACCTTGGCACTTGTTAGGATTATCTCTGCTGACGGCATAGCCGGGTCTACAAGAACAGACACGATGGCCGTTTTCATAAGTTGTAATTTGCTCACATTTACAGTTGGCTGAATAAAGGAAAGCAATGTAGCATCAGTGTTTTATGGTGCGGGGAAAGTTAGGATCTATTTGAGTCGATCTGCTTGCTCAGTTAAACTTATTTTCAAATTTCAGAAGTCCTTAGCAAAAGTCAAGAGTTTAAGTGAATATTTCCTTTAATTCATGCAATTAAAGATTTTAAGAATAACAATATTATTGAATTATTAGTGATTTTAAGCTATATGATTGTCATAATAAAAAAAACAACAACATAGAATTGTTTAATTTCTTGTTGATTTCTAACAAAGCTAAGAGAAAGATTTTAAATGTAGGAAATTTTTGTAAGTGTTATATTTATAATCGCATACATTGTTTTCAAAGGTTTTTAGGTTTTTATTAAAATTAAATTAATTTATTAAGAATGTTTTTTTTAAATATATTTCTAAATATATGAGTTTCATCGAGTTTTTAAAAATGTTTTAGATTGGAGATATAACACATTTTTAATAAAGAAAATTAAAAAAGGACATACAATTACATCACTATTTAGCTAGTTACCGGTAGCAGACAATCGCCGCCCATTTTTGGCGTGTAATAGACTATTTGGCTGCAACCATATTATCAACCAGATCTGTTTATAAAGCTAAACTGAACATAAATCCTCTACCCAAAATAAATCAACTTTCAAATGGAATTCACTATTAGGGAATGTTAAAGTTTACTAAATAAAGAAACAAAATATTTAAAGTACTTACCTTGAGTATAGACCGGACAGAATAGCAAAAGAGTTGCAAAGATTATTTTTAAATTTCCAAACGTCATCTCTGCTTTGTATAGTTTTAAAGATGTTCTGTAAAATACATTGTTACTTAAAGTTTCGTTTTGCTACGCTGCGTTACGTTGTGTTGCGTAGCGTAAAGCTAGGTTACGTTACATATATATATTTTCAACTGTCTTTTTCGTTTAGTTTTACAATAAAATTCTCTAGCTCTACAATCTTTCCAAGAAAGTTATCTATTTATTTATAGATCTAAATCTCAGGTGGCCAAGAATGTTATTTATAGATCTAGATCTAGAATCTAGGTTAAACCAAAGATTAATTAGATACAAACCAAAGATTAATTAGATAAAAATACAATCCATTTTAAAATCATAATACATTTTTTAGTCCTTTAATACTTGATATAAATCTTTGTGATTTATATATCTAGATCTAGATCTATCTAGAATAGGTCTAATCTAGATCTAGCAAGAGTTACGCAAATACTAGACTTAAGCAAACGAGTGGTAGAATCTACATCTAGATAATTCTATCTAGATCTAGATAATTTCAGACCTTTATTATTTTATATAAATCTTTGTTTAGCTATGTAATTGGCTAATTTAAGATAAAATTTAATTTGAAGGTTACTACTACTAGACTTAGATCTAGATCTAGATAGGGCCTAAGCGCGTAATCAAGTTGCATAAGGAGACTCAAAGTATTAAACTATACCATAAAAAACATCAGTGATGTCACGAGTCTAAATAGCTAAGTTGTTAGTGTTATAGGCTTTCATGCGGTTGGCACGGGTTCAAGACTTATTACGTCTATGTTAATTTTTTCAATTTTTTCAATTTTTTTTAGATGTGAATGATAAAGTTGCCTGTCTGAACTTGGCGGAATACAGGGCAGGTGAAGTAGAGCTCATCTGTTTCTTTGTCCTAAGCATATGAAGGGATAGTGTGGTCAGAGCCATAAACGGCCAGAATCGATTTTCTAAACTATAAAAACAAGTTATCTGAGACTTGTCGGGACACTGGCCATGTAAAGTAAAGTTCGGTAGGTCACCTTTGACGTCAGCATATGAAGGGATAGTGAGGTCAAACCCATGCTCAGCCGAAATCGGTGTTTCTAAAAGACAAAAACGTCTTTTTGAATGTGGGGTCTGGTTCTTTTGTGACGATGAATGTCAAAAGTGATGTCATTTATGGATGACCCCCGAGAACCACAGTTATCCAAAGGATGAGGGTAGTCTAGTTGTTAAAAAAAAGATAAAGTCGTCTCCATAAAATCACAGTGAACACGATGATAAAATCTGCAAACGGACAAAACGCAGATTACGGTACGGATTTTCAGTACAACGCAAGAATTTCCTAGTTATTTTTCGCGTTATCCGTCTACTGGATTTCTTCTTCTGCGTTCTTAATTTTAGTGTAAGAAGAGATTCTCTCCAACACAATTAAGTATACGTGTCAACTGGTTATGCGCTATTTTAGCCGCTGACTTCTATTTCATCTAGCTTTTCTTTTTTGATTTCCTTTCACAGTCTTTATTCAACCATGAAAAAAACTACAAGGTAACAATTGTTTGATTTATTAGTTGTCTCTCCTAGATTGAGTTGAATGTGCCCGAGGTTTCGAATTCGAGACTTTTTCGGCTCAGCTAAATTGAGGTTTACCGACTCGACCACGCCGACTACTTTACTGTACTTACCTGCGTTTAAAGAAGTAGATGTGTCAACGGTCTGGTATATCCGAGAGCGTCGTGTACTGTATGTTTTATAAGGTCTGTTATAACTTATTAGCCAATCAGAAGACTGGATGGAAATTACTAATCGTGTAATAAAAGAATGTTTGGCGACATTTGTTTTACAATTTTAACCAAACTTTGAAAAACAAAATCTTCTTTAGAAGTTAATACAGAATGATTTAACACAAAGGTAATAAAAATGTTTTCGATAAAGATCTAAAACATAAATATGCAATAAGACTCAGAATCGAATACACATTCGATAATCTTACATTTTATTTCTTCTCCTATTAGAACGAAACAAAAACAATATAAAAACAAAACAAAAACAAATTATCCCTTTGTTATCATGTAAACATAAATCCACCTATCTAACGACGTAGATACGATCGACAAGCTCGCGACTCTCTATTCTTTCAGCCAACATTTCTTGTCTTCTCTGAATAATCTCTCGATTGAACGTAGTTGGTTTTTCAAACACTGTGTTGTAAACAATTTAGTTTAAGCCATGGAATAGAATTAAAAACTAAATATGTTACTTTGTGTAAATTAGTGTTGAATTTTATGCTTAACCGGCCAAAGTTACTTTTAGGACTCTAATATAAATTTAAAACTTAGTATGCTTATAACAGTGTCTCCCCGCTCTATCAGAAGGTTCAAGTACCCCTTCACCTCAAACATAAATACATGAATAAGATATATATATATATATATATATATATATATATATATATATATATATATATATATATATATATATATATATATATACTAGCGTACCCGTCCCCGCGCGTTGGATCACAATTACAATGCCTGCGCTTGGATCATAATTATCGGGACACGGATTTACCCACACTACTGCATGAAAACCTTAAATATACGTTAACAACTCAGCAAAATAATGAGGTAGAACACACTTCGGTGACCGCCCATGTGGCAGAGACGTAGAGGGGCGCTCTCAGGAGCCCACGCCCCCTCCGATTACACTATCGCATAGGCGCCGCGTACGGCCTCTGGCTCCTTAAATCTAAAAGGGGGAGGGCAGTGTCCATACACACTTCCGCGAGTACCATCCGCCCTGGACTAGATAGAAAAAATAATATTTTTATAGGGCAGATGAGGCTCGTTAGCTGGGGACAGCCACTCTTATAGGAGAGACTACCCCAAAATCAAACTGCTGCTCTGTAGTTTGGAAGCATATCCTAAAAGAAATGCGGGCTGAAATCGGAGTCAATTGCCTCAATGGCGCATAACCAGTTGACACGTATCCTTAATTGTGTCGAGTCGGCAAAAAATTCAAAAAAGTCTCGAGTTCAAACCCTCGATCCCTTCCAACACTAAAAAATTAAGAACGAAGTAGAAGAAGAAGAAATAGGAAATGTAAAAGTTCATAGTCCACAAGAAAATTTAACATTTCTCATCTGGAATATTGTATTTCTCCCAACCCTCGAAGGGTGACCCGTCAAAAGAGCGCACGACAAAAGAGCGCCGACATAAGAGCGCAGACAAAAGAGCGCCGACATAAGAGCGCCGACATAAGAGCGCCGACATAAGAGCGCCGACATAAGAGCGCACTAATTTGCCTACAAAAGAGCGCCGACTTAAGAGCGCAAACTAACGATCGAACAAAAAACAATATTTAATAAATAGGAACAAGAAAATAAACTCAGATCAGAAGGCATTGTTTGATGTTAACTCTTTATTGTTTCATTAAAAAACTAATTCTTCAGTTTTTTAAAGTAAAAAAATGGGTATTAACGATTGATATTATCCGTTGTTCCGAAATCATCATTCTTTAAATGTCAGTCCCACAATCCAACAAGACGAAATTTTGCCCTCTTGTTGACGTTTGAAGAGGTTCAGGAATTTTTTATCTATAATATAGATATAAATGAGGTGCTAGTTCCATCGAAAGTCCTGCTATGGCTGGTTGTATAATCTGCCTTGGTTTTTCCACCCCTTCTACTGCCCGTTTTCGTATAGCCGAAAGATCTTTCGCTGCTTTAATTAAATTTTACCCGGATCAGGAGCTTGATTGTGTTTCGATAATGACAGAACAACATCGTTCAGTATTTTCATCCATCCTTGGTAGCCATCTTTCTTGCAGCATCTCCATGTCGTACTTCCATCAGCATTTGCTCTGTCCTTTCTTCTTCTTCTTCTTCTTCGTTCTTAATTATTAGTGTTGAAGGGGATCGAGATTTATCTGCCAGTAGGTTTGAACTCGAGACTTTGTTCGAATTTATCAACCATGAGCTTTTTGCCGACTCGACCACGCCTCCAACACAATTAAGCGTTACGTGTCAACTGGTTATGCGCCATTGAGGCCATTGACTCCGATTTCAGCCTGCTTTTCTTTTTGGATTTGCTTCCATAGCCTTTGTCCAACCAAGAACAAACTACAAGGCAGCAGTTGTTTGATTTTGGAGTTGTCTCTCCTAGAAGAGTGGCTGTCCCCAGCTAACGAGCCTCATCTGCCCGAGGGTTCGAACTCGAGACTTTTCGGTTTAGCAACCATGAGCTTTACCGACTCGACCACGCCGACCCCTTCTGTCCTTTCGATATCTGTAGCTTTCGACCAATATAATAACCTTCCCTTATTGACTGCGCTCTTATGTTGGCGCTCTTATATCGGCGCTCTTTTGTCTGCGCTCTTATGTCGGCGCTCTTTTGTCGTGCGCTCTTTTGACGGGAAGCCCACTCGAAGATAATATTTGAAAGAAACTTAACTACCACCCATACTTATTACATGGAGGGTAAGCTCAGCTTCGCCACTGGGACAGCTGTTGCGAAGTGACGTGTAACACCCACTCCACTGAGCTAGTCAGCCATACTTTTGAACACGTGTCTTACATTAGTGTCAAGATTATTTGCTTGTGTATTTGTATGATCGATCAAGTGATGACTTTTTTGTTTTGCACGCGATCTTGTTGCAAAATGCACAGGATCAATTGTCTATAAAATTTCTTTTCAAATGCCCACGCTTTTAATATCGGTTTGAAAGTTTAAAAAAACTGAGGATTTACCCACCCACATACACAGATGACAACACACACGCGGGTCTAGCTATCTTGTTGCGAAATGTACTGGATCAATTAACGATAAAATTTCTTTCCAACTCGCCACGCTTTTAATATCGGTTTGAAAGTTATAAGAATTTGAGGATTTACCCACCCACATACACAAATGACTACACACACGCGGGTCTAGCTATACGAAAGTAAATTTTCAACACAGTAACTTTAGCTGAAATAGAAAAAAGCCCCACTCCCAGCAGAAATTCGTTTAGGGCCCCTACCTATACATAAAAATAAATAAATAC